ATATTACTAAAGAGGACTTTTAAGCTTTAAGTATAAATTATATAGATCTTATTAAATTTAAGTTCTAATATAAAAGCTCTTACTTCCTCTATTATAATCTCTATAATAATATCTTTAATAATAGTATAAGCTACTATATAAGATAAGAAGTTCACTTTAAAGGTAGAAGTAATAATTAACTTTTTTAATCTACTAAAGTTATTCTTAAGTAGCTTTTTCTTATTCTAATTCTTATTATTCTTAGGTCTAAGAGTATTAAAGTTCTTTATAGTAAGCTACCCCTTATAAGCTATTTTAGTATAAAACTTAGAGTACTTTAGCTTATTAATTCTAAAGTAAACTTAAATTACTTCTTTAGAGCTTATATAAGCTTCTTTATTTATAAAAGTAAATTTAAAGTAATTATAAGTAAATAAGGTTTATTTATAGTCTTTTCTATATATATAATATAAAGCTAACTTACTTTATAAGAGCTTTTCTAAAGTAAAGTTATTAGAAATTATATTATTAGATTATCTAACTAGTATTATAAAGACTTTATTAGTATAACCTTTTAAATAAGTATTTATTATATCTTTATAGAGAAGGTCTTTAAATATATTAATATACTAACTTATACTTTAGATCTTAGTACTAAAGCGCTCTTACTTAATAATATTAATAAGCTCTAAATTAGCTTAAGATAGAGTAAAGTAGTATTAAATTGCTTAGAAGAAAGTTTTTAATATAAAAGTTCTTTATATTTTAGGTAGTTTATACTAAAAAGCTTTAAGAAATATATTTTAGAAATCCTTAATCTAAATATTAAGGTTAATAATAGAGGCTATTTAATCTAAAACTATAATATATTCTTTATAGATTATAATAAAATTACTTAAGTTACTTAAAATATAGTATTACTTTAGAATATATATTAAAGCGTAAAAAATATAGTTTCTTTTCTTAAAGAGCTTTATTTAAATAAGTATAAAGATCTTTTCTAAAATAATATCTTTAACTTATTTATCTAAAGCTTTATATATTTATTCCTTCTATATATATTTTATTTTATAAGCTATATATATAGTGAAGTGTAAAGTATAAAGTTTAAGGACTTCTATAGATCTCTTAGTAAGAAAAGTAAATATAATTAGTATAAATAATAATAAGTTATTAGTAGTTTTAGTAATATTACTTTTTATAGTAACTTTTTATATATTTAAAGTAATAAAAGTATATAAAGTAACTATCTTATTATAAACTTCTTATTCTACTTTATAATATTTATATTATTTCTTATTTTCTTTTTAAATCTAATTATTAAGTAAAAGTATATTTTTAACTTTACTTAAGTTAGAAGAAGTACTAGAAATATTATTTAGGTTAATATATTTCTAAATATCCTTAGCTTTTATTTCTACTTAAAAAGTAATATATTAGACTAAGAAGTTATAATAAGAGGTAAGCTTATAAAAAGTATTAAGGTTAATAGTTACTATTATATTAAAAGTATACTATAAGTTAAAAGTAATTATAAGAATAAGGTTTAAAAGTTAAAATAGAATATAATAAATATAAAATTAAATTAAATAAAGTTATAATTTATTTTATAAATAGTAGTTTAGAGATATAATATAAGCTAAGTTTATAACTATTATAAACTAACTATAATATATATATAATATCTATATAAATAAAATAGCTTAATTCCTTCTAAATTAGAATCTAATATAAAAGGTTTTTTAAAGAATAGATCTTAATACGCTAGAATATTATTAGTCTAGATAAATAGGTCGGAAGTAGGTTACCTTACACCTTCCTCTAAGCGCAAGGCTACCTCAGATACTTAAGGGCATCACAATAGGTTGAGTATAGTACTCGCAGCTTCTTCACCATCATCTGTTCATTACTCTATATATCCTTACCTAGTTTAGAACTAAATACGGTTCGGGTAAGGAGGCCCGATCACCATATGATTCGTTGCTAGAAACAAAAGCCTCGCCTATTTGATGAAAGAGGATGCTCTTCAGCTTCTCATATGCGCAGCAGTGCTCCGGAATGGGCATTCGGGGAGGTCTGGTCCAGTTGGGAGTCGAGAACGGAGTTGTGGCGTTCTCAGGGAGCACGGCAGCAAAAAGGCCCGTCACAAGGGGCAAAAGAATGGACAATCTAGGAATCGAACCTAGGACCTATCCCATGCGAAGGGATCATTATACCACTAAACCAATCGCCCGTTTATTATTGGAAAAGAAGAGATGCGTTGAGATTATGGCGGAAAGATCGTGAGGTGTCAGGAATGGGGATTGGTTGCTGGGAGCTGAGGTGAGACATGGCGTTGTGGTGTAGGACGACGTGAACGGATGAGGATTGGGGTCAAAGTCAGAGGTGAAAACCGAGCTGCGGAGCATTCCGATAGAAGATGATTGCAGTCGACTCTGCGTAAGTTGCCTTTCGTAGTATGGCGGGGATTCCTTTGGGTAGGAACTCTGCTATGCTGGCGTATGAACAGATGACGAGGACGGAGAGAAATACTGTAATTACAGTGATGAGATAGCATTTCTTTCGGTTGACTAATTAGACTCGTTTGCCTGATTATCAGTACTCTGAAGTAGACTTACATCACCTCCCTGGAGAACATTGGTCCGCAATAATCGCTGTCATTTCTCGATGTTTTGTCCCGATACGCACATCTGGTCCGAATCCAAGTGAAATACATGTGACATGTTTTGATTGACAAGCAGCTTTCCTCTCCTGACTCATTGGCCTCTCGTTAAATCATCATTTGGTCAAATTCCCAACTTCAGTTATGAACCAACTTCCTTTGGCTTACAGAGGCTTTCTTCCGTGAATGGACCAACTACCCGAATTAGCAGCATGTCTTTCCCTTCAACAACGACTGCCACTCACATGTTATAGTAGGCGTGGATACTCTTGTCGCCAAGTTCCTTGCAAACTTCAGCGGCAAGGGCGACAACGTCGTCTCTCGTCCAGCCGAGGACTCGTGTCAGGGGAGCCATGATAAACCCGTCGAAGTTAGGCGCAATGTTCTCATAGTTCCAGGCACCAATCTCCTTATGCTTCCGATCCTTGGGCCATCTGTTGGTCGGCCATTTGAAGCGATGAACTTGCACGTCGGTGAAGCCGACCTCTTTCAAGACCGCTTCGAGGCGGCCGAACTCTTGGAAAGGAGACCCAAAGATTACCATTGCTTTCAGGCAGAGGTTGGCGCATCTCAAGATTGCGCTGTCTTGAGTCAAGGTCCCGTCGTCTGAGACAGGCACGGCATCGATGTCGTTGAGCTCCAAGTAGCCACCAGGGTTCAAATTGCTTGTGTTGTTAGCATGGCATGTTGGCCTAGGTATGTGACTTACTCGTAGCATCTCTGGACGTATCTCTTCCAGTCAGAGATACTTCCGGTCATGGTTCGACTATGGATGTAATCGAAATGCTGCGAAAAGGTCCACGGCTCCTCGATGTCGTCGACTATGAAAGTCACGTTTGGCGGTACGCTAGAACAAGGGTCAATATTTGGGAATGAAACTCGGGAGAAGTTCCACAGGGGATCCCATACAATGTTGTTTGAACGGCAGACAGATCAATGCCGATAATCTGTGAAAACTCAGTACTCCGCATCAAGGAGAAGGGGATATCGATATCCAGCAACCTCAGCCTCAGGATGCTCGTCGCCAAAGTCAATGGCCCAAGAGCCCGAACCTGTACCAACATCCAATACACGCCCAACCTTAGATCCTGACTGGCTGGGCGGTGCAGTTCCAAGTCGGTCGTCAAAGGTGCGAATGAACAGGTTGTGTTGTAAGTCTACGGTTGCTTAGCTACAAACGCTCCACGTGTGCAACATCATAAGCTCTTACCAAGTCGATCGATCTCTTTGGTGTCATTTGGCGCCATGTACTCTGGATTCGGTAGGTCAGATCTCGTTCTTGTAGCTGATGACATACACAGACTTACTCCCTTCCTTGTACGCGTGATAAGTCCGTCCATTCTCTTGTCGATACTCGAGAATGGAGCCAGTTACGCTAGTTGTTGAAGAGACGAAGGTTCCCTGTGTAAAAGATGTTTCAACGTCGTGCTTTCATAATGTGTCAGATGCTATCGCTTACTCCGCTGATTGAAGAGACATCGTCAACCGCGACCTAATCGTCAAGCGAGTCATCATTTTTACGCTTCAATAGCATGTGATGTGATTTTGACCTCGTCGGCAGCAAGCACGCCGTTGCTATCGTCACTGACAGCGTGAGCTAGTCGTTCTTTCTTGTTGAGAGCGTCATTGCTGAGCCCAGCTCTGGCTGTAGCGTTTTGGTCAGACATATTGGGAAAAGACAGCACGGTTGTCGGCAAGAGAGAAACTAAGGGATCTTTATTTTGAAGCGAGAAGAATTCTTTCGAGCGTATATAAGTCAGATCATAACTAATTCTGCCGTCCGGCGATGTGGCTACATTGGGAGACTCGGCCTTGTTGGTTCCAGGTTCCCCTCTTCTCGGCTGAAGACACCATGCATAATTGTTGCAATTCACTTGCAGAAACCCGCATTCTTTTATCTTTGGTAGCGAGCCACTCGTAAAATCATGCAGTTGCGGTGCGGCACAGCGGCAAGGGCCCATCTGGCGGCTATGAGACGACTCTCGTTGGTTTCCTGTTGGTTCGCAATTTCGTTTCCAGCAATCAGAAGCAAGCCTGAGACAACACAGGAAAAAAAAGAACATTATCATCAAGTTGAAGATCACCAGCAACTTCTGCTTCATTGTAAAGTTTGGAGTAGTAAAATGCGGCGTTAGTGGAAGACCGGACCGGGCAAGCCACGTTGTCAACCACAGCAAGCATGAAGCACAAGATCTTATCGTCAACAACGGGAGACTATCACTAGTTCCAGGCACCAGCGTCGGATGTGGGGTCATTGAAATACCTGCATTGTATTTTTGTGGCCAATTTGTCCTCTGTTTCCGCGGCCACAGTTTGTTTCTTTTCCGGACAGGTTATCGGCGTTGTTCCACCTCACAACATGCCCTCATCTCAAGAAGATATCGCGGCCTCGCTTGCAGCCTACCGATCGTTTATCGCAGCACAAAACCGCCGCGTTCTGGATGTTTACGTACCCTTCATCGCCACAGCCGAACCCGATGAGCTGGAAGACGAAGAAGATCTCAATGAGCTCCGCCTGGAAGCTTTGGGCTCACTTCTCGATACAACGCTCGCAGACTTTGGTGTTTCAGAACAAAATGAGGTTCTAACACGCTACGACGAGCTCGCTCCAAAGATCGGGGCTGACGGCACCTACGTAATGCACGAGGACAGTCACGAGGAGCGTGAGGCTAAGCGACGGGAGTACCTTGACGAAATCGAGAAGAATCTCAAGCTGAAATCAAGAGAGGACGTACGGGAGACGATCTCTATCCCAGAAGATTTTGGCATTCTGGCCGGGCTGGTCGACGGCGTCCTCGGTTACGGCATACCATTCTGGCGCAACACAACTCAGCCAGCTTTCTGGTGAGGGTGTAGACGGTACCTGGGCTCGTATGCCTCAACAGTCATGACGCCCGAGGAACTGAAGGAGTATGCGGGCCTCGGCAGCTCCTGGCAGATCGCGGGAGGCTGGACGCCGGGAACCGGACCTGATGCCAACTTCAGCATCCTGTACTGCCGCGAATGTGACGAGGATGCTTGGAAGTGGAGGTACACTTTGTGCACAGCCGTTGATGGCGAGCACATATTTGAGACCATCCCGGACTTTCTGGCCTGGTACGCTCATTTCGGGGAAGATTATGAGGTACCTGACGTGAAGGATCTGAATGCAAATAGAATTCTAGGCTGTGACTTCTAACTATAACCATCTGGGTGAACGAGAGGTCATTAAAAGGCCGATAAGATGTATGCGTTATTGAAGAAGAAGGAAACACGAGGTCAGCCGAGTGAGAAATCTGTTGAAGAGTTGATGACAGCAGAGAAACTTGTGGTAAAGGGAAAAGATAAGGTTTTGATTTGAAATGTCGTCTCCCCTTGAGGGACAAATCAAGTCCGCAGCTCGTTTCTTTTTACATGAGACATTGTTACGTACGGTGCAACTTATTCAAGTGATAAACATTTGAAGAGCCTTGCGTGGCCGACGGAATTGTCAAAAATACTCAGCAGCGTCACACTACATGAAAATTCAATGATGATATGCATTCCATCCTTTGTAGTGGAACCTTACAGCAGCCATTGTTTAGCGGACATCCTGGGAAGGCTTCGAGCAGTGCAGTATTCTTGAAGTAATCTGCATGGCATGAATAAAATCTTGTGAGAACAGGATAGTAAGATCGGATCAGAGTCGTCTGAACCAGCTTTACTTTCTCGTCCGACCTCTACGACTGGTGCTGTATGGAAAGACTGCTCAGGTCGCCCGTTTTGAATCCGGCGGGTGTTCACTTTGTGAGTTTTGCGGATGGATACCTCATCTGCTCAGAGTGTCTTGGCCCGCGTGTGGACAGAGCCTTTTATTGGTCAATGATCACGTTGCACGCGGGCAAGTCGAAGCCAGGAATCAGGCTGCAGCTGTGACCCCGCGGTGACTCATTCCTCCCATTCCTCATCCCATCTGACTTCTTTACTTCAGTCCAGGCGCTTGCCAGCAATCGAACGCCATTACAAAGTTTATCACTATGTCTTCAGGCACTCCCACGTACATCCCGTCGCCGAATTGGGACATACCGGCCGATAGCGATATCGTAATCCTCGGTCGATTCATCAAGGATCCCAAGAACCCCCAGAGCAAGGTGCTCAAAAGCAGGGATGAACCGCTCCAGCCGCCCAAGATCTATGAGGGCGAGAAGACCGACTGGAATACTACCCTTGACCGATTGCGTTCAGGCAGCATTGGACTCTGGGCCAAGTGCTTGCAGATTGTCGGTGGTCAGCTGAGCTTCAGCCAACTCAAATCCTCCATGGAGAGCCACAGGTTCGCAAGATTGGAGACAAAATACTTTCTGCCAGATGACGAATACCTTACGGAGGCGCTTCAAGATCCAGGCGTGCAGGCTTACCTTCTGGTGAGCAACTGGCGGAAGCCTGTCTATTTGATTACCGGAATCAAGATCGCGAGGGGAGCCAGTGTTAGCTTCGAAGACACCATAGAACATTCAACCAAGGCTGAAATGAAGGTGGATGCGTCCAGCGCAGGTGCGCCCCTCGAGATAGGACCCGAGACGACCTACGAATCTAAGAACAAGAGGGGTATCTCTTACGGCGGGTCTTCCGACTACATCTTTGCTTACCAGCTCACGAAAATTCGGCCGAAGAAGCAGGGCCAGGATCTGCTCAATGAAAGTTATGTGGAGGGTGCAGTATTCGGCAATGATGATGACAGTGGTGCAACGGAGCCTCACATTCGAGACATGTTTGAAGTGGAAGAAGAGACCACTCTGGGGCTTTCAGACAACTGGGAACAGGTCAATACTAATGAACTCTGAGGGTCACATTTTCTTTAAGCGGAGATTCGAAACTGTCTGCTGAGACCTTTCCTTATGCTCACCTTAGAAAACCCACATGATATATCACCTACAGGTTTTCCAAGAGCCATAACTACATCTCTGGCCATCAAATTCAGAATTGCTGCACGTCGTATTCGATACGCTTCACTACCGCATATGACACTTATCATCCATGTCACGTAGAACAAAAGCAACCCCCTCTATGCTCTTTGCAGAACGCTTACACACCCATCATGATTTAAACCCCCTATGTACCTAAACTTTCGGCGCCCAAGACCTGCCTCAACGATTCTGCCACTTGATTCAAAAGTTCATCGTTATCCAGAAGCTTGACCGTTAGAAAGTCCCATGGGAGCAAGCTCTTCACCCTGGACCGGTTGTGTTTCTTCAGCATGCGGCCCTCTAAAACCGCCATCATACCTTTCATTTGTCGCAAGCCTTCAGGCAGATGGCCATAGCGAAGCCTGTTTTCGGGTGTAGAAGTTGCCACAATCATTCGGATGCATCCCAACAGATTCGCCGCCAGGCCTGCTGCCACTGGAGTCGCGTATGATGTCCCTGATACGTACGTGGTCGTAAAGCCTTTCGGATCGGCAACCTTGACAGGAACTCCCTCCCCGAAGGCGTACAATACATTATGAACGCCCTTGTCTAAGGGGTTGAAACTGGAGTCGTTTCCATCGCCAGCAGTCGAGCTAATTCCAATGACCGACATGTCACTTGCTGGCCATGCCATGCGTTTATGAGCGCCATTATTGCGGGTAGCCGCAAAAAAAAGGGGTGGCCTCTCAGTCTTCAAAGCCTTCTCGATAGCCTTGCTAATCAAAGGGATCGGCTCGTCGAAACCAAAGCACATGATGATCATGTCAACCTTCCACTCGTGTGTCGCGCGGTCGATAGCCTAGACGAGTAAGCATGTCGCAGATGGATATGTGCGCTTTGGAAGCACTCACCTCGGCAACACTTTGATGAGCTCGAGCAGCGTTTCGAGAATCGGAAAGGTCTTGACTATTCTCGAAAACTCTTGCAACATAAAGGTCGGCTGTTGGAGCAACTTCAAGGACAATCTGGCCCACTCGGGTGCCATGTCCATCGCGGTCAACCTTCCAGTCGTGACCAGGCTTCCCCGTCGCAAAGCTTTGGGACTGTTGGGAGCTAATGCGCTCATCATCCAAATAAGCTTCCTCAAGAACTCCAGGCAGCTGGAGACCTGTATCCAGCACGGCAATCTTCACACGGGTGGCCCGTTTCACTGCCTCGCCACACTTCTTTTCGCATTTATAGTACAAATCATGTACCGCTCTAACATTTTTGAGCCACTCCTTACTACATGTAGGTTCTTTTCTGTGATTTACAGCGTGAGCAATATGAAAGCTCCCAAAAGGAGGGTTTCTTACCTGGCCATGCGATCTTGGTCCTGATGATCGAACGATCCAGTCTGGCTAGCCCCCTTGACCGTTCTTTCTCGATCAATGCGTGCCTGTAGGGTGTTTGACTGGACTGCGAAGGCGTTTGAAAGAGCCTTTTCAATGGGGTACAAAACTCTTTCGAATATATATTTTCTAGCCTCGAAGCTATCAAGGACGTATCTGGATTCTCCGGGCTCAATGCATGCTGAGATTGCCGGAGCGAAGCAGTCGTAGATATTTATAGCACGACTTGTTTGACACGTTGTAGCCCAATTGTCCTTGCATAGATTGGCCATGACACAGCGGTCTTGGGATTTGTCACATTCGATGGGAGCACCTCGTGCTATCTCGAGAAGAAGTATGCCTAAGGAGAGAATATCGGGAAACCGGTGGGGCTGGTTAGTCTCTCTCGTTGGCGATGCTGGGTTCGGTGGGGAGCAGCTCGTCGTGAAATAGGGCTTTGTGATGTCTGGCGTCAAGGTCTGGTGGGAAACCACAAAACAGATGTTCTCGTTGTTCAGACCTTCTTGCAACCATGGTCCTCGAAAAAAGTGCAATAGAGAGGTTGTCAGGACGAAAGACAAGATCAGACGGTCTTCTACTCCGATAGAGGACATCAAGGATTCCCCACCGTTTCGCCTCGACTGGAGGAGGTATTTGAGTGACTTGAAGTCGTCATCCGCAACCCGATTCAACTGAATGATGTCAATGTCGGGTTCAAGCTGCCACAAAACCTTTTTGCAGACAACCATTCGTGGTATAATTCCAGGCTTCACTCCCTGAATAACCCTACAGAGGTCTTTACTGATTCTGATGGGCCCTATATTATTGTGGCTAATGCTCTAGTCAGCTGGACTCGGCTGTACATATGGATTGACCTACCTCTGACGTTCAACCACAGCCACATCCGTATCCTGCCACTCATTGTTGCAAAAGCTCGTCGGAAACAAAACACGGAAACGGATATCTAAGTGCGGGTGGGTGTTGCGGTAAGGGGCTGTTTCGAATCGTTGGTGTTTGGTTAAATTTAGCCGTGTCTTGCGACTGGCATGAAATGTATCTCCTGGGCATTGGCAGATCCAGTTTTCCCTCAACAAATTGAAGACATTTTCTGTGCAGTCTGGCATATGCTTCAGAGGATATTCTGAGAATCGGATAGGGCACGGCAAGTCCGAGTCTATGGTGAATTCCAGTAAGTTAAAAAAGAACTCGACGGTTTGACTTAAACTTTGCAGCAACCTCATGCGCTTCTTGCGATCGTTGTTATAAATGCGAATGATGACATCGATGTCTTCCAAGAAGTCTTCGCTGAGCTCTTTAGCTTGAGGCAGTATTCTCCGGAGAGCATGGACCTTCGGAAAGGTGTCTTCTGCTCTGCACTCAAAACCGAGATGCCGAAATACCGGACCGGCAGTTCTGTCCTTTCGGGATAGGAACCGCCTCTCTAGCTCTTTCAAAATCTCCAACATCTTGTTCGTGACATCAGTTTCATCCCTCGTAAGCCTCTGTATGGTCTTCATTGGATCCCATTTCCTGAGATACGAGTCCAAGTTGATAGACCAAGTGATGAAGAGGATGTAGAAATCTTTGATCTCTATTGAGCTGGTATCGTTTTC